GGAAAGTTACTGGTGGCCGACCGTTTGTATGGACGTGGGAGACTACGTGAAGAGTTGTGACGGGTGTCAGAAGGCACGTCCGATTCCCAGGTATGAGACAACTTTGGGCCTTCCCACCACAAGCTTGTTTGATGTTTTCTCTATTGACTTTGCTGGACCCTTCCCTGTCACTTCGTCTGGAAATCGCTTCGTGTTGGTTGCGGTCGTACACCTCACAGGATGGCCAATTGCTCTATCCACTGCTGATAGTACTGCTCAAGTAGTTCTCGACTTCGTCAAGAGAGAAATCATGTACTCATTCGGCCCTCCGAGAACCATTGTCTCTGACAATGCTACCTGCTTTACAGCCTCGGCCGTTTCTAGCTTCATGGCTCGGCACGGTATCACTTGGCGCACCGTCCTCGCCTACGCTCCCATGTCTAACGGTAGAGCAGAGAGAATGGTTGGAACTTTGAAGGCTGCCGTCCGTAAGACAGTTCTTGGAACTGTAATAGAGTGGGACAAAGCACTCACCCAGGTTCTGTATGGATATCGCCGACGTGCCATGAAGAACGGCGTGTCGCCATTCGAACTGATGTATGGGATCCCGCCTCGGATGGATTCCAGTGCAGAGACAGGTGCAAGCCTAGTTGTTCCTTCCTTAGACCATCATCGTCGTTTGGAGCTCCTGACTGGATCTGTCCCACGAGCGGTTCGCTCGGGGGCCTCTGTGGAAAAGAGGCTCGTAGCGTCGTCGTCTCACTTCTTCGAAGTGGGAGACAAAGTTCTTGTCGCTCGTGGAACTTCATTCGGTGGCACGAAATGGCCTGCATTCGTATCAAAGTTCTACGGGCTATGCAGAATCGTAGAAGGACGCCACCCTCGCTACGTGTTAGAGTCGTGTCATGGCCGAAAATGTCGAGGAAATCTATTCATGCTCGTCGACTCGTACCCTATCGTGCAAGGAAAAGTGAGCAGGACACCATGGAGTGAAGACGCATATAGATTGTAGCAAAATAGTTAATTGCGTTATTGCTCAAAGCTACGTAAGATGTATGGCCCCTTTTATGCATTTAGAAATTAGAAACGAAAGCTCGAATGAAAACCCACTGCATGTGACGAAGAAGATACCTATGGCGGCGTACGACATCTGGGCGTCGCACCCCAGGACCGGAATGCTCAGGATAACTCGTTTCATCTCCTGGGAAAATGTGGACGACAGCATGCCGTCGGAGGCCGAGAACAATCCCTTGGAGAAGCCTGCGTAGAAGAAGGTGCATGTGATGTTTCTTTCGTCGAGAACAACGCCGGAAGCGCTGCGGTTGACGAAGAGGACGAGACAGCCGCCACACCGGATGAATGCAGAGTGACGCACATTTGATTCATGTTTCCATGCCAAATGAGACCGCTTGCAAGAGGCAGACCCGAGGATTAAAACCTCACCTGAGTCCGCCACACAAACAATCAAGTCAAGTATCTATGGCAAGCAAACGCCCGAATCTGCGTCACGCTATGAACGAACTTCGTGCAGAAGTGAGGAAAAAAAATAGTTAGTATGTGCACTCAAGTTGTGTGAACAATGGATTAAGGTTAGAGAAAAATAGTTACAGTGAGGCTCCAGGAAAACACGAGGCAACGTGGAGCGATTGGGGGATTGGTGTCGATGGTGACACTAAATTGTGTCAATTGGATCGTCAAGGTCGAGCGCCGGTTCCCTGACTCAAGCCGATCACCAGGAGCAAAGGAGCGGCCTGCAGTCAGTATATATGTTGCCCCTGCCCGGGTGTGCGGCTGGGGAGGGGGTCGTGTGGGGGAGATTTGGGGTACTGTTGTGAGAAAATCGTTGTTCATGACGATATCGCTGATTGGTTGATTCCTTCGGACTACACTGTGGATACGGGTTCGGCAAATGTAATCAGCATGTGCTGGCGTCGATCGATGCTCTCTCCTTTTCTTTGCTAACTCAGCTACCTCCCGTCTATAAGTACTCATGCCGTACCCTTCTAGCTACGGGATCCATCGTTTCCCCCTCGCTCGTTTCCCTTTTTGCGGGTCTTTCAGCTGCCTTTTCCTTGCATTCGTCCATGCTATGTACATCATACGTACGCATTGATCCTTCGATTCATCCTCCGAATTCGCCTCTGTCAGTGGTGATACCACTTCCTTCTTCGTGGGTCCAGCCCCCATTCCGTTACACTCATCCTTTCGGTGCAGCGGCATGCACTTGCCATCTCTTTCCATGTCGCACGAATCGGCTTCTTCCCTTGATTCTTTACCCATCCGTCTGTTCGTCTTCCCGTGCATCCGACTGAGAATTCCTTCCTTTTGCCCACGTTATTGTCCTCTCACCCTTTCGCTTGTCCCCTGCTCTCACTGTCTGCATCTGCATTCTGCTCACTGGGTGTCACTTCTACTCTATATATCGTCGTATAGGCGTACATGCGATGTGTTCTGTGGAGTCATGCGCGCGTGTTTCCACTGTGTGCCAGACGCACATATCCAATCAAATCATGTGATTATTATTTCAGTATCCGACTCTTCACAACTGTACAGGGTACAGTACCCAGGAGTGGCGCCAGGACCAAAGCCTTCAAAACATGATTTTATTGGTCTACGTGTACGCCAGGTGTACACGTGGTCAATCTCCCTTTGAAGAACAGCGGTCCTGGGAAGTGGAAGATGCTGGCGGCCCCTCTACAAGAGAAAGGGGCGCGCCGCGACACCCTGCGACAAGAGGGACAGAAAAAATAGAACAACTCCCGGACCGACCCCCGCTCTTGAAATAAACATCTCGCTTTTCTCTCTCCCCTACGCTCGCAGCCCCCCTTTTTAGCTGTCAACAGGTCTGTTGGAAAGGATGATCCGTTTACTGTTGGGCATCTTCGTGGCCGCGTCCCCGTCTAGGACAGGTGTCTAACAGCAATGCAAGGTATGAGAACCTGTGTTCACCGAAAAACCCCTGCATTACTCATTCGTGGAATTACTCAATTCGGCACTATTGGGCGAGTCCTCTCTGTATGGTTCTTTCGTACAGTACAGGTAGTACTCTCTTTACAAACTTACAGTGTATAGCTCCTCCTCCCTCTAAGCACGAACAATCTGCTCACATGTAGAATGGTGGTGCACTTATCATGTCCTACGCATTCAAACTCAGTTCGATCGGCGCGGCTCGTGCGCTACCTAGAAAACTCTACAACAGCAGATACTGTACTAGTGTCCTGTCATCATCCCTGGTTCTACTTCTCGTTTTCGTGCGCCTCCCTTGCTGCCTCCGCTCCATTCCTTACCCACTCACGCACTGCCGTTCTCCTCCTTGTGTGTGCGCGCCCCTCATATCCGCGTGCTATCCCAACAGAGTCGCAACAGACAAGCGTCGAGCGATGCGTGTGCAACCAGTGGGTAAGCGTCACGAGAGCGCGGAGTGGAATGGGCACAGTACAGTACAAAGGCAAATGTATGGTACAGTACATGCTTTGTAGTGATGTTTATGCGGTACAGTAGTGAACAAGTCTTGAGACTCCACACAGGGCGAGGAGCACACGTTGCGGGTAAACGAAAGGACATTGCTCTATGTACAGTATTGATGAAGCCAAGGTCCTGCGGCGAGGAACAAGCAGTTTTGTGCGACGTCATGGAAATATGGAAATATGGGCAGCTTTCTGAAGCAAATTGGATGCAGTCGTCTTCTCTCCGAGCACGTTTGGGTGACCTGGCGCAAATGTTGCCCAGCCGCTCATTGGATGATTTCTTTTAAATTTGAATATCACGGCGATCTAACAAAGGCTCAACCCTACAGTATGAGTCCCGCTTCTTCCTTCGCACCAGAGAATGGAGGGATAGAATGGAGGGACATTCGGGTCTCATGTGTGCTCAATCAGCAAACCGGTGGAGAAATTATCTTTTGTACTGCAATGTACCGCACCATTCTGTACATTAGCCGTGTCTACAGAAAACACAAAGGGGCATGCATGTGCGACTACTGTACTTTCTCACCAGAGTCGCAAAAGTCCACACCGCATCATCAACAGCTGCAGATATCACCCCGTAGTTGATCATCCACTTATTCCCACCTCCATTTGGACTCTCCCTTCTTCAAGTTGCTGAACACTACAGTACAGTGCATGTCCGGAATATCGCATCTCGTACAGTAGTATTCTGTAATACAGTATTGTCAGTTGTATCGTCATCCACATAGTACAGAGTAGTATTGTATGAGCAAAGTAACGGATGGCCTCTCTAACCAATCTTCCCGCTTTCTCCACCGCGCTACATTTGAGTTTCTCGCACCTGCACAAGTCACTTTGCGCACATGTGATGCGCCTACTATTATGCGATCATCAACTCGCTCTCTCATCGTCCATCACATGCCCCCGGTGCGTCCGTACGGTTTCAAAATGCAGGAGGAGGCTCTCGCTTCTGCAACATCCACTCCATACAGCATCACTTTGTTACTGTACGTATTGCACAAGTGAAACTTGCATGGAGCGTCCGCACCATCCTACAATAGGTAATTGTAGAATCTCCAATCCCTTCTGTGGCCCTCACATCCTATATCTCCGGTACGGATTGTACGGATGAAGAGGAGTATGTTGACTTTTACTCATACTGTGCGATACTGCAACATCACCCACCGTTAAGATATACCCGCAGGCCTCTCTGACGATGACTGGCGCCTCTCTCGAGGTATACCGCTCCCGTCTACCCCACGATTGCCACTATTCCCTGGCGTTTCTTCTTCATACCAATCTCGCCACGCTTCTTTCTCTCTTTCGATTCCTTCTCTCACAGCCGACGTGGCAAACACCTCATCACCTCTCGCCCGCCTCTAAATCACTCACACTTGTCGCCCTCCGCCTGCATCCTTAACCAAGCTCAGGGTTAGGGGCTCCAGACTACTATATATATGTGTACATACACATATGTATCTGACTACGCCGACTACAATCCCTTCTCGTCTCAGCACCCAAGCAGTACTCCTCCCAACCACCTGATCAAAACAACTGCGCAAACAAGCCGCCACCATGAAAGTCACCCTTCTCCTCCTCGCGACGCTGCTTCTGACGGCCTCCGCGCGCACGATCAACGTGGTAGGCGAAGGCAGCGCCAGCGCCGTCCCGGACCTAGCCACGATAGATGCCGGCGTGACGACGACGGCTACTACTGCAGTAGCCGCGCTGTCGGAGAACAACCGCAAGTTTGCGCGCGTGGTCGCCGTGCTGAAGGAGCAAGGCATCGCTGACACAGACGTGCAGACTTCATCCTTCGACGTGTTCCAGGACACTCGCGGGCGTCGGGAGAACAGGACGCGCGTGTACACCGTGTCCAACTCTATCTCGATCAAGGTGCGCGATGTGGATGCCGTCGGCGGGGTGCTCGACGCGCTGGTGCGCGCCGGGAGTAACGAGATTAATGGGGTCACGTTCGGGTTGGAGGACTCACAGATGACGAAGGACAAGGCCAGGAGGCTCGCCGTGGCCGACGCGAAGAGGAAGGCAATGTTGTTCGCAGAGAGCGCCGGCGTGGAGCTGGGGAAGGTGCTCGCGATTAGCGAAACTGCGATACAGGCGCCGCGGGAGAATCAATTCGCAGAGGCGGCGTTTGGAACCCAGGCTGATACGTTCGTGTCGGGCGGAGAGCTCGATGTTGAGGTGAAGGTGTTTGTGCTGTTTGATATTGCGGAGTAGGTGGTGGTAGGTTCGTGGTCGCTCGCGCCGGAATTGGTTCAGGGGCGGATGGTTGGGTAGAATGTCGTCGATGCGGCGCATACAGAAACAGAAACAGACGATGAGGTTCAGATAATGTCACTGCAAGCACGACGCAAGCAAGGTCCTTCGCAAAACCGTGCCGCCCACTGTCCTGCACGGCATCACGCGACCTTTTACATGAACAGGGGTACACGAGGTGCACTTGTCAGCGCATCAGCGACGACGCAGCGCCCCGCGCGCAGACGGACTAAAGTAGAGGGAAGGAGAAAGAGAAATAATAAAGGAGTGGGTTCGGGCCTTGTGCTATCTCACTGCTCCCGATGTCGAGTGGTCTGTGTAGATGGAACCCTCATACACTGCATGCGGGTCAGCGATGCAAGAAGTTGTCGCCGTTTCCTCGCACAGACAGAACTCCACTACTGCGAAGTTTTGAGGGGTACGTTGAGCAGACAAAAAAGGTAACATCACATTCTTCTCGAACTTACATTTGTCAACAAAAGGAAGCGAAAACACCAAATACCGTACACCATTTGTGCAAAGCTCCCGTTCTTGCGATTAACTGCTTGTTCAGTCACTTGAACATAAACTCTAAGTCCATCATTTAGTTAACGATAATATTACACAGGCAGTAGTAGCTCTGCCATAACCAATTCTGATACAATCACAACCACTTCTTAATAGCCCGGCCAACTCCGCCCGGGACCCAACTCCTGTATGAAATGAAATCCCGGAACCGTAACTTCCGTCAGCATAGGCCACTTCCGCACGATCGGCCTGGCAAAAGGCGAAGGGACACCCGGCTCGGCGTTAATGAACAACTTCCTAATCTTTGCCTTCTCGAGCCACTTTGAGTACGCACCGATCAGTGCGGTGACATCCGCCGGCTTACCACCGATGGGAATCTGCCTCGTCCACGTCAGCATTGGCCTACGCGACTCTCCTGGTTTCAAATACGGCCTGCGGTAGACTGCTTTATCCTTTTCGCTGAAATTGCCTGTATCAAAGAGGACATCCTCGAGGAAGAAATTCTCCTGCAGCACAAGTTTCTCGCCCGCCGGGCTCCTCAAAAGGCAGAAGAAGCCCTCTGCGCGGTCTGGAAGCTCGTCGAATGAGGGGAAGGGGGCGACAAGCGCCTCGAAGAACACGATGGCCTTGACTGCGTTGGGATTATTGCGGTTGTAGTACGCCCACAGAAAGCCTAGAGCGGAACCCCAGTCATGGATGACCAAGGTGACGCGCACCTTCACGCCGATGGCCTCGAGCAGCGGGAAGAGGTAGTTGGTGTGCTCGACGAAAGTGTAGCTGTTTGAGCCGCTGTTGTCCAGCTTGTCGGAGTCACCCATGCCGATTAAATCCGGGGCGATGAGACGCCCTTTGCCTTCGAGGAAGGGCATGATATTGCGCCACAGGTACGAGGAGGTCGGGTTGCCGTGAAGGAAGACAATGGGGTCTCCAGTGCCCACTTCCACGTAGGCCATACGCTTGCCGCTGATAGTGACATACTTTTTGCGGGTGAAACGGGACGGCCCAGAGCCGTGGCCTGGCTACGCAAGGGAGCAGAGGCTGAGCGAGAGGAGGAGGAGAAGGGTGGTGAGGGGGAAGTTTAGCCGAGGCATAGTGGGTAAGTTGTGGGCGCGCGAGGGGCGTTTGACGGGGTGATGGAGCTAACGTTGGGGAGCGGAAGAGGCCGCACAGGGTTATATGGATGCGTCGCTGCGCAGGCTGCCAGGGGTGCGTCGACTTCTTTTCTTCTTCTAGACAAAACGGGGCATGTTAAGACACACCCTCAGGGT